TAAAGAAGTTTCACTTCGTACACAATTACACGCACAATTTTTTTAAATTTAAATTATAATTTTTTTAACCCCACAAAAGGAATGCTTCCGTATATCATTTTATCTTTTCAACTTTTAAATGCAAGTAACATTACAAGTTCAGATATGCCATTCGAATTGAAAGATAAGGCCCGTCACATACATACGTAATTCCGTTTCGAGATTCCGTTTCGTAATTCCGAACGGGTCGGCCACACACATACGGGATCCCGTTTGGCCCGCAAAATTTCGAACGGAAAACTACCGTACGTGTGTGACGGGTCATAGATTTTATATGGACTTGCTGCGTTCGGGATTCCGAATCGGAATATCGAAACGGAATCCCGAAACGGAATTCCGTATGTATGTGGCGGGCCTAAGTTTGGAAAACAAGTAGATATGTAAGAGTATATTTGATAAACAGCCGATGACTTACTGATAAACGTGATAAAATCAAATAAAGGATTATGAACTCTAAAGTCACAAAAGCTATGTCTGAAAAAAAAAGATGGTGTACCTAATTAAAGATCCGGTGTATCCTAAAGTAACGACCATCTTAATCATCTTTACAAATTTTCGTATATATTATATATTAAATGTATGAATTGCTCATCAATAAAAACGTTAGCGTAATAAAAATGTTTTTGTTTTATATGATTGAGATGTTTTTTCATGGACGGTACGACATAGGTATTGACAAAATGTGTTAAACATTGTATAAAGACAGGCAGTAAATAAGGTATTTCTGAAAAATATTGTATTCATTATAAATCTCAGTAAGCTTTTGTTTAATTTGCACGTAAATTAAAGTCGTTACTGTCAGCTTTTTTCGCAAGATGGCAATTACGTCAAGTTCAAATATTGTTGGCCGTAAACGTCATACAGTCTATAAATAGACACAGTGGAGTGCTATTTTGCTTTAACATAATATAAAATTCAGGGTAAATTCGTTTCCTACATTGAGTTATATGTAATACGTACACATATAACTCAATGGTTTCTCAAAATTAATACCAAAAGGAAATATGGGAGGAATAAATGTTAGCTTGCAATATTGTAGAATATAGTATTTTAATTTGATCGAGATCTATATTTTTTATATTTTTATTTTAACAGATTTTAAAATTTTGATTTTTTTTACAATTTATATTTTTATGATGAATGTATTATTTATAATGTTATCACTGTGTTACTTTATTAATAACATTTGTAAGTTAAAAAAATTACGATTATGCACAATCTTCAAATACCAGTAGAATTAATCCACCTATACATATAAATAAAATTGAAGTATCTGTTTGTAATAGTGAAATAACCGTCTTTTATTGAGGCTTAGGGTTATTTGCATGTCATGAAGACATGAATAACTATTTTAATTTTTTTTGTCTGTCTGTCAGGCCTAGTTTTCCGAATGGTTGAACCGATTGTGATGAAATTTTCACGTGGTAGAGCCATGCTACAGCTATATTAGTAGTATAGTTGTAGCACGAATGGGTTGGCCCGACCGGGGAAGGACCACGCTCTCACAGAATACCAGCGTAAAATAGCAGCTCAATGCTGCTGTGTTTCGTATGGTGAGTGTAGAGAACCGGAAACTTTTAACTGGAAATAAGGCGTTTCATCTTAGTCCGCACGAGTGACAACGCATTTGCATTTTGATTCTTTATTGAGGAAAGGTGTGGATATGTATGGGTCACAGCAACCACTTACCATCAGGTGGACTGTGTGCTCGTTTGTCACCCTATCCTATAAAAAAAAAAACATTTTAATGATCTCAAACTTAATATTAAAATAATATGCGGTCAAACATTTTGGTTACATATTTTGTATATATACGTTGAAAGTAACGCGTACGTACGTATCACGTAACTTAATTCAAACAAATTACAAAGCTAAAACACATAGAGAAAACAATGTACCTACATGTAACACGCACACAAAACATCCGAAACACTCTAAACTCTAAAGTAACGTCACATTTTTTAGATAAAGAAAGAAATTTGCGAACACTCTCCATTTCTAGGATCTTTTTGGTACACTCGCGACAAGGGCAAAATAAGCGAAAAATAGGAGAGTTATGGACCATCCTCGTTCTACAAAAAATATTTTTAAATAGTCCGCTAGCATACCTTAGCATGCTAATAGGAATATTAAAGTTAAATCTGGTGAGCAACACAGGGCTATTGATGCACCTATTTAATAATTTATACAGATAATATAACAGGACAAAAAAAGAAAAATAAGAGTTCCAGATGAGAATTTTCAACGTCTGTGAGTCCTGAATCAGTAAGATACGAGTCAGTTTCCTATTTACTCTTTTGATCCTATGTGTACTTTGTAACTGAGAGCCTATACTATGCAGGGGTTGTTATAAAATAATTGGTTAATTCCGCGTAAAGAAAGAAAATGATGTGTTCTGCCCAGTTTTAAGGGGACCTCCCACCCTCCCTCAATCGCGCGCACTATACCCGTTGCCGTCAATTTCAGCACTACCAGCCCCAGCACCAGCAAAATACAGTAGCTTAATGCTGTTGTATTTTGTATGGTGAGTGTAGAGAACTGGATACCCTTTTTTCTGGAAACGAAACATTCCATCTTAGATTTCAGGACTGACAACGCATCTCCATTTTGATCCTTAATCGAGGATAGTTTTAGATGTCTATGGGCCACAGAATCCACTTACCATCAGGTGGATTGTGTGCTAGTTTGTCACCTTTATTCTATGAAAAAAACATGCATGAGTGTCGTGGAACACTCGGTTGGAACGCAGTTCCTTTCGTAGTATATTATTATTGATGAACGTATTATATTATTGATTAACAAATACCAATAATTGAATTACTAGCATCTATTAAAATGAAGCGTTATTTAAAATTAAATTATATATCGTTCATGGAAAGAAAAGAAAAAGTGCGAGGGAGATGGATATTAGTCCATCTCGCTTCCTTATAGCCGCCAAGGCCGTCTACAATACGTCAAAAGGGGTCATGACGGAAAAATCTTACACTTTTTCTCGCCTAGTCCCCATCCACCAAATTCGTACCGTCCGATGATGCATTTCGTTTCAAAAAAAATAATTAAAACGTTATCACATCTAACGTAAAACAAACTTGTTAATAAAAGTACGAAACAACGTCTTTTCGTCACTTCTTAACTCTACATGACTCTACCTTTTTATATTTAACTATTTACTCTTAAATATTATTTTAAAAGTTATCTCCTTATTACATGTTTTTAGAACAAGCCTATGCCTGGCAGAGAGTCGTGCGTAAGATGTTACTATAATTGCCTGTTTTGCTCGACGCTACATAAAATATTTAAATGTGAAACTAGATGTTAACCTAGGACATCTAGGACTAGGCCTATAATTATATACATATCTATATAGCCCCCTCCACCCTAACTTCATAGCGTTTTAAAATGTTTTCCATGATAAAATGTACTTTTTTGCTAAATTTAATAAAATTTAGGTACCTAAGCCATTTGTGTGCGATTGATTGGCAAACATCTTAAGGGACAAACTTTCACATTAATAATATTTCTTTAACTATTTTAAAATGGTAAAATGCACTGACTCAGCTTATTAAAATCCCTTACATTTATGATATTAGAAGGATATATTAACGATGTAATTCTTAGGAAAAAGTTCGGAACGGAAAATATACTCGTAAATACAACAAAGATATAAATTATTGAAAATATGAAATATAATGCCAAGTAGGTAATTATTGAATATATTAATGAATAAATAAGATCATATCTACGGCTCTGTAGCGCAGAGGTTAAACATTCAGTTGCGCTGCTGTAGAGCCCCAGGTTTGAAACCTGCACGGAACAAGTGTTTGTATGGCTTACAAATTCGTGATAACAACAATAATAATTATCTATCATTGTATTGATACACCATACAGTTCACAGTTCCTCTAAACACACTAGATACAAAGTCCATAAAAATCAAAAAGCAATTCCAAAAAAAAATATATTCGTAAATCTCCAAAAAAAACCATATCGGCTCTATCTTTCCGTCTTCGAGCCAACAATCAATCACGGTAATACACTGTAGATATACACGACAGAAAACGAATTATCAGATTTAAGTAAAAATGAAAGAAAAAGCTGTTATACTTCATGACACAGGACGTATGTAATAAGTAAGATATACCTACACACAAAAAGTCAGTACTAAAATGATTTGTTTTTGTTACTTCAGGAGATTCATTAAAAACGAGGTACAGTAAAAACAACAGCGTGGTCATCAATTTGAAAAGTGAAAAAACTTAATTTTGTCAGAAAGCTTTTATACTACAGCCACATCGTGATGTTTGTCAGCAATTTTCATTACTATGTGTGATAAAGCAGGCAACAACGTTGACGGTACCAAAGTTATTAATCATAAGAATAAGGGTTAATGTGCCCAAAGTCAAGATATAGCCGTTATTTATAACATTGTACATGGCCATTAAGTATTAATCGAGAAACTTTGATCATTGTGCGGCTCTATCTTAAACTATAATGATTTAACTCCACGATTGCATATTAATCGTAACAGATAGGGTACGTTTACGATTGGTTCTAAGTAACGAATCAGTTCGCCGTTGTAGTACGTATGGTTTACATTCGAATGCAAACATAGAGTAATGTGATTAGCGGCCGGAGCGTTCGCGTCTGCATCTCGGTTCATATTGATTGCCGGTGACATCGTTATCGTCGGCGCGACCGCTCCGCTCGCCGCCCAAAAGAAACAGGAGCGTTTCTTCGCGCGCCCGCAGCACTACAGCACAACGGAAAAATGGGCGGGCACTCCGCGTTGGCGTCGGCGCCCAATGGCGCCGATGGCCAGCCTCGAGCGGACCAATCGGCGGCGGGCGTCGGGGCGGGCGCGCGCACCTCGCCGCGCCTTCGCCTCGCTCGCGCTTTTTATTTATTGTTGCGCGGAACGTGGCGCGTGACGGGCGTGTGATGTGCGCGTAGAGTGATCCAGCATGGAGTCCGCCGTGGACTCAGCGTCGACCGCGAGCGAAGTGAGCGGCTCGTCGGGCGGGTCGCCGCGTGTGAAGGCGGCGTCGCCAGCGCGCGCCATGAGCCCGCCGGCGCTGCTGGCGCCGCGGCTGCCGCTGCCGCCGCCCGGCCTGGGCTTGCTCGGCTCCCTGCAGATGATGCACCACTCGCCGCTCGAGCTCATGGCGGCCGCGCACCACCACGGCCCGCCGAGATACGGCAGCCCGCCGCCCATCTCCACCTCCGACCCCTCCGCCAACGAGTGCAAGCTTGTCGACTACCGCGGACAGAAGGTCGCCGCCTTCATCATCCAGGGTGACACGATGCTCTGCTTGCCCCAAGCGTTCGAACTCTTCCTGAAGCATCTCGTGGGGGGCTTACACACAGTGTATACGAAACTGAAACGGCTGGACATAGTGCCGCTGGTGTGCAACGTGGAACAGGTGCGAATCCTACGCGGGCTCGGCGCTATCCAGCCGGGCGTTAACCGCTGCAAGCTGCTCTCGTGCAAGGACTTCGACGTGCTGTACCGGGACTGCACCACCGCAAGGTACGTTTCCACCGAGTTAACGTCACCGATACCTACTTTTAAATGTGAGTTCCTTTTATACCTATTTTATTTTTCATTCCTCTTTTAGTGCGAAAACTTTGTGGATTTGTTTGCTTATCATTCCTTGTTACACGTAGGCAGTTTAATTGCAAATTTATTTTTTTATGTTATTTATTTACCTATTGACAAAGTAATGTATATTAATTATAGTAAACGAATATGGAAAATTTAATTGCGAATATTTAAAAAAAATAGATCGTTGGAACGTGCATCACTCTGCAAATTATGTTGTATAGGTACTCTTTCTTTTACTTTAAAGATATTCGAATACAAAATTAAAAACTTTTACGATTATAAAAGTTTGTTTTTAACAATGGGTAGGATAGATTAACTTGCGAAAAGAGATATTTGGGTAACAGTGATTTCGTGAGTTGTTCTAACGCAACAGTGAGGGCGCCCCATTAATTTTTCACATTTTAATACGCGCCAAATATTTTCCACTGTGTTTAAATATTCAGGCGGACCACGGCGACGGAAGGGTTAGATCTGTGTTAATTAGCGGCCGAGGTTTAAATATTTAAATCGTAATTTTTACAAAAGCTAAAGTTAGATTAAAAAATCTTTGTTTGCTGCGGGACCTCATCGCACATCCGAGTAGGCCTATAACATAAAGTTTCCTTACGACCAATACGATTTTAAAAATTTAATGGCGGCTACAGTACGCTGGGGACACGTAAATTTTAATTTTCTGAACATCGTATTGTCGTTCTGTGTTCGAATTATTTAATATGTTCTTCCTGACGGTGGTTACGTTTTGGGCAGAATGCGTTTAGTCCCCATGAGTCATATTTATGTTTGATTTTATGAAATCATGATGCTAATGTTCGTTTAACTGGTGATATCATATTTTCCTACTACGCCACTGGCTTATTTCGATTTGCCGGCCATTTTGTTTCACGGTAGAAGTAAATAATATTCATTATCTTTATAAAAGTTATTAGCTGTAGATAGGTAAACTAATGTTATAACTCTTATCAATCGCTACGTTAAAGTTTATAATTATAACGTTCAGGTTTAATAGATAATTACTTTTTAAATTATTTTATTTTAAATATAATATTGTTTTGTTTTTATTAGACAATGTTTAAATTAAATGATACTAGTATATTATTCATTTATATGTTATAATTTATTTATTTAACTGCACTTTATTTCATTACTTAAACCATAGAAATTAAAAATTAAACAAAACAGGAATATCTTCGAAATGAATAAAATAAAATAATTAAACAAAATTACTTAAAAATATGAAAATTGTTACAAAATAAATTATGCGACGAGTTATGGGTCACTACTCGTCAAGAGAAAAACTTTGTTATTATTTATTAACACGTATTTAAGTAAATTGCGAGTGTTGTCAAAATAGTTCCATTTAACAAAACAGCTGGAGCTTTAGTTCTAGCACTGATTATCAGTAATACCAGATTTATATTTAAAATAAAACTACAAAAAAAGAGTAGAAGTGTTTTATCTCTGAATTAGAATGTATGAGTCGGTTACAATGTGATTATAACAATTAGGCACAAAGTTATGGAAACGTTCTCTTTCAACTTCATGAAAAATAAAAAAAACACATAAAAACTATAGGAGCGTTATTCGGTAATTCATATTTAAATTTGTAATTAAACAAATACAACACTTGTTGAGCCAAATCATAATATAATTTATTGTTTAAGTTAAAATGTGAAGCAATATAGGTGGGCGAAGTACCACAAAGATTTTTTTGTTTTAAATGCTAATATGACTTAAATTGTTATTGAAAACATACCACAGCTTGAATATTATGGATAGGCAGGGCAGATTCACTGTCACTCTATATCACTACTGCCCATTACAAGTCAACTGCAGAAAATATGCATCCCGTTTAGACTGCTTCAAAGCAGGTATGGTTATGAGCACTGCATCCGGCGACTACCTGCGTGCTTAAGAGATCAGGTCAACACTCTATCTAATAGGGTATCGCCCTAAACTGCATTGTCAGTACGAGGTTGCCACTCGAGAACCTTTCTTCCCTATCGGTTGTCAGTTGTTCGTGCTATAGACATATGCTGGCAAATTATTTCACTTCATTACTGTATTATGCATTACGCACGACGAAGAAAATAATTTGGTTCGAATGCATGGTACATCGACGGTCGTCCAATAGTGGAAGACAGAGAGAAAGGAATTAAATCATACCATTCCTGCGCACACTCTAAAATGTATCCTGTAGAACATAGGTATTTTGCACCTGTGCTTGAGACTGGTAAGATTGTCTTTATCCAAATTGAGGTCACCTTTAGTACGCTTTTTATTGAGCCCAAAGCTGCTAGCTGGCATTTTGCAGCGCCAGCCCATTTATGAAAGCAATATTCAATGCATGATCGATTTTGCGCTTTATATTGAATAGGTATGCGTAGTTGTTCCGGTGTGAAGTCCTTTTTGCGGTGAAAAACATGCTTGTGTTTTGAAGGCGTTGAATTTCACAAGATTGACATTGCACTATTCGGAGATTGCCTGCAATGAGAGATTCACACGTTCAACCATAGCTTTAGCTTTTGTACTGAATTTGATTTCGAATGGTGCGAGCACTCGGCTGGTATCTCTCCATAACTATGCTGTCATTTGCATACCCCTAAATGCCAGTCATTAGAAGGTGAATGATATGCAGCCGGAAGAGAGTAAAGAAGGAAACGAACCCCTGAGAAACTTGGATATTAATTTTATTATAAAGTGTAAATATGAAGGTTTTGATATAAAAACATTACTGCTTTAAAAATATTTTTTGTAAAATAACAATTACAATTGGAATTGTGGTATTTACCAGAGTTTACTATTTTATGTGTAAAAATTTGTTTTTGTGACTTATTAATTGTGATTTATAAATCGATAAGTGATGATTTAGTTATATATATCCACTGATTTATCGAGTTCACGCGTCGTTAGCTTCCTCTCGCGTTTGTTTGGCGTACCGTAACAACTTTAACTTCGTAATTAGTATCGGCGTATCTCATTATGTTCTTTGAGCTTTTTGCGTTTACGTTTTCTAGCGTTAATAGTTGGAAATATGAACGGAAGTAAAATATATATTTAGATACACATTATTTACGGCGTTTCTTTGATTGCTTATTCCCATGTAATTTTTTATTCTGAGTAAGTATTTTAGTAAATACAGTAGTATTTTTAAAATAATATTTCATGTTTGAATGACTTTATTTGAAGGAGCTTGTAAAGGCCTATATTATTTATTGTGAGTATAAAATGAAAAGTAGGTATGAATTATAAGACGTATAAAATAACATTTCTTTAAGAGTTTAAGTAATTTTGTATTATAACAGTTTTACATTATCAATTGTTGCCATGTTTTAAATTATAATCGAATATAGATGCCTCAACAGATAGTGTTACAAAAGAAATATTTAAAAAACGAACGCTACCCGCACACAAGGCATCACTTTAATCTGTATTGACACGTTTCCACCATTACGATTCGAATGATTCCGACGAGAGAGAATACATATTATACAAATAACATGTTTTTGTTGCTCACCTACATATTGCCTACACGGCGACTCAAGGCGGCTTACCTGTTAACTTTTTGTAAAGTACGTATTATAATTTGCCGAGAATATCTTGTCCTCACAAATGTGATTGATGACCAACCCGGAAACATATCTGTGGCGCCAAATGTTAATAGTTACTCTAATAGATTAGAATTATGTATTCTAAATTCAAAACGGAAATATGTAAAATAACCTTAAATCAGAAATTGGGTATGAAATAATTATACAAATCGAATCATCATCACCATTAATAGTTCAGTATTCGACATAGGTCTCTCCCATTGAGAAGGTTTCCTCTGAATCTCAGGCTTCGCTGGCAGATTGACGATCGCAGAACCAGAAGTCTCGCATGTTTGACGGTGCTACCCGTCGCTGGACTGACTAATTTACGTCTGGCATACGCGAGGTGGTTATACCGCCGTCTATAGAAAACCATTTTTTTGCTATATCCTATAGTCGCTTCTTATGATACTCAAGGGAAGATATGAGGTGATGGATACGTTTCATATATAAATGTGAAGGGACAATTTTAGTTACAATAAACACTTGCAAAGTAAACTGTAACGGCAGTGTAAGAATATCCACTACCCCATATCGTCCGTTGGGTGTCGCAAGAGGCGACAGAGGGAAACTGAGGCAGAAGATGGGCAGCAGCATCATCCGCATGCCGAGCGTGGAAACTATGACGAAGTCCCCACTATAATGTAATCTATAGGTAACCTTATCAGCAGTGGACTTTTATAGGCTGTAATGGCAATGAAAAGACTTGTGAGACGTGAATATTTTATATATTTTCATTTTTATTTATTGTTAATGTTTATATTGTTGTTTATCATGTGTACTATCAAAAATAAATGAATGATTATTTTAAATAGCTTTAGGTTGCGTTTAAAATGGAATTAACGTGGATTAACTTTGCACAAAACAGCTAGGGTATTGACTATAAAGTGGTGCTAGGAAATGCGATATTTTTAAGAACGCATCGCCCGCATTACAAAACGTATACAATAATAGGTGGACGCTCCTTTTCACGCTTCAATGATTGCTCGACGGCAGATAAACGAGATCGACTCAGGTTACCGAGTCGGGAACCGAACGGCGCGTACCAAGTTGTGACTGACTCAATAACTACAACTCTTTTATACGTTTAATTATATTATTACTTGAACTAGCTGTTCGCCGCGACTTCGCCCACGTGTAATTTAGGGTTTTAATTTTTTGCGAGGAACTTTTTTTGCGAGGAACCCTAACTCCTTTTCCAAAATAAAAGTAAGCTAAGTTACTTCTTATGACATCAGCTATCTGCCAGTGAAAGTCTCGACAAAATCGGTCCAGCCGTTTCGGAGATTAGCCGAAACAAACAGACAGACAGACAGACAAAAATTTTTAAATTATATT